CTTCATTCAGCAAGAAATGTCTGTTAGACAAGCTGGAGATGCAAGCAGCTATCGTCGGATCATCAGGATGGAATGGGAGGTAGAGCTGAGTGTCATCAGCATAGCAGTGATAGCCATGTTTCTGAATGACGGAACCTAGTGATGCCATGTAGACAGAGAAGAGAAGTGGTCCAAGAACTGAGCCCTGAGGCACCCCAGTAGTTAGATGTTGCGACTTGGACACCTCACCTCTCCAAGATATCTTGAAGGACCTATCTGAAAGATAAGACTCAAACCACTGGAGTGTGGTTCCTGAGATGCCCTTTGCCAATAGGGTTGACAGGAGGATCTGGTGTCAAAAGCAGTGGACAGATCCAGCAAGATAAGTATTCGAATTTGAATCACGTGAAACCATGTAACCAACAGCAGATCGATACGTCACAGTATGACCTCGTAGCTGAATTAAAAGAACATAAATTTTAAACTGCAGCGATGCAGGAAAGTGGAGTAGATTGTATGTTTTTACATTTTAGATGTATTATAGTGTTGAATTTAAGTTTTAAAAAGACGCTGCAGAGTGTGACGTCATATCACGACTGTTGCAGCGTACGAAGAAATTTCGCATGCTCAAAATCTAGTGTGACCGTGGCTTTAGGCAGTCAGAGAGGGGCGAGATCACATTTCACTCCGGTGAATGGGCCCCCTGCCGGGCCTGTGATTGTGTTAGGGTGAGGGTGGCTGATTCGAGCTCCGGTCACACAGGGTCACACACACACTTTGACGCTCATTTGGTCAGCACGGCTGGCTGAGCTTCCCGAGAGGAGGAAACCGACCAGGGTTCATTGCGCGCAATGAAAACAAAGAAAACTGCACTTTCATATCAGGGAAAATCAGACCTTTGACTTGAAGACAGAATGAGGGAATGTCAGTTCCACAGAGAGGGAGTGTTATTCTAGGTGGTGGATCTTGTTTGCATGACACCTTTCAACTTCAGTGCTACATGATAGCCTGCGAATTGATGCTCTTTCAGAACAGACTTGTTATTCAACGTAAATTATTTTTTATTTAGTGCTAACAGTCTGACTCCCATCATGTTTTCTT